AAGGCTCCCCATTTTTGCTAAAACACTCAAGACAGTTCTCTTACAAATAGAGAAATTCTGGCTTTCAAGTAAGATTTTCTGGAAGGGTCAATTCTGTTCTACCAAGTGATTAAAGCTTAAATAGAAAAGATGCTCTCAAACTGCTTCCAAGAAAAGCACCATCCATGTTTAAGCTCCTCTGAGAGTCACATTTTGTTCACAAGTGACACAGTTACCACGAGGCATTGTCATGCAACTGTGTTGACAATGAAAGGAAACACAGTCACATTTGCACAGATAAGGAGGCGCCTCAAAGGACTGAGACCTCTGCAAGGTGCGTGTTAAGCCAGACACTGCCCTGCAGAAGGCATAAGCTGACCTGAAATTTCCATGAAACAAGGTCAGATGGTTTACCCAGCAGCCCCGCAGTTCTCCTGAACTGTTGCTGCAGCAACACAAATGACATCAATATCGGTTCATTTATACAGCAAACCCCCTCGAGTCTCTAGTAATTTCAGACAAATAATAGATAACACAAAAATAAACCAAACACGTAGCTGACGAAGAATCAATACAAAACTCTACATTTTACCCACAAATTCTTTCTCAGTTTTCATGGTATTTACCCAGTCACGAAGACTTGGAGGTCAGTCTCACTTTAGCCTCAACTACTATGCCCCATATTCTGTCTGTGCCGCTCCTCTACATCTGGGTGATGGGTCCCAGTTCTCACCGCCAGGGGCCACATCTGAACCCTCGCCTTCTCTGACCACCTCCTAACCAGGCTTCAGCAACACACTCCTTCACAGTTGATTGTCACTATGTTCATATCATCCCATGCCCATCTCCCTACCAACCTGAGACTCTTCTTTAGTCTAAACCCTCCTGTCTGGTAGTCCTCCCCATTTGTGAACAGTCTGTCTGAGTTCCCTATTTACTGGACCCAGGCCACCTATCAAAGGAGGAGTCACACAGCCTACAGAAAAGAGCCCAGCTCTGGTGTTGGACTATCGCAGGGTTAATCCCAGCTCTGCCATTTACTTCTTCAGAGGCTCTGAGCCTATTTCTTCAGGTCTTGGCTTTTAGTAAACTCACTTGAAAAAATGGGAGTAGTAAAATCAATGTTGGGTGGTTATATGAAAATTAGACGTCATCTCTACAGTACCATGCTGGTTCGGCTCACTCATACTATTCAGACTTCATTCACATCTGAGCTCTGAATCAGATGCTGACCCAACCCCTACCTTCTACTCCCAAAAGCATCAAAGAAGGTGCTAAGCAAGGTTGGGAACAGCTGTGTTGGATATATTACAGTATAGGGATCCTTTCTAGTAAACCCCGAATTTAATTGCATTTTTTTTAGCATATAAGTGGAAATCCCATTCCTGGGAAATTATTTCCTGTCAAAAGAAATACTTGAATAAGATCTCAATTCTCAGAATTCCCTAGGCAAAGCAAGCATCAGTGATTCATCCTTCCCATTTACTTGAGAAATCAACAAATATTAATCAAGCACTTATTGAACACCAGACACTAAAATACTAAAAATAAAAACCTATGATCTTGCTATGTAGACATAATGATTAATTATGAAAGACAGGAGTCTGACACACATTCAAAAAGAAGGATATGTATGACAATCAAACTATTATAAAATAATATAAAAGGAAGAAGACTGAGTAGGTAAGTTTAGCTCAGAGGATATGGTAAATCCACACAGAAAACGTGCTATCAAATTTAAATGTGACCTTAAGAAGAGGGGAAGGCTTTCTGCAGTGGGCAGGAGAAAAGGCTCCCAGGAACAGGGACAGCCTTTCTGGGCAGGGAATCTATCTAGACAGAGGTGCACAGAGAGCTGGAACACATCAGTAGGAACCAAAGCTCCATCGCCAAGCCTTAGGTTGGGTTAAGATGGGGAGTACTGAGAAGAAAGAGAGGGTACCAATGAAGATGATACCCTGAGCCAGGGAGTGGGTTTGAGCATTATCCTCAGGGCACAGGAAAGGGAGAAGGTAGCCTTTAAGTCCAGGTTTTTCATTCGCTGAGATTTCGTGGCTTATGTACGGTCCTGTAAGAAGCGGCATGAAGCTGCTTGTGCCGGCACCTTCCAAACCAAGGAAATGCTACGTGAGAAATGACTTCCTAAGGAAGTCTGGGTAGTGGTGCTGGGAGAAGCAACGTGAGCAGAAATGAGGTGAGCCATTCACTGGTTGCCAGGTACCAACAACAGACAAGCAAAGAGGAGAGGCAATATCGACAGCAACAGGGATGAGCAAAGGGATCTAAGGGGATAGCTTGTACATTCACAGAGGAATCGCCCCTTCTGGAGATGTTCACTTGGTCTGCTTCTGGAAACAATGTGATATAATGGTATCATTTATCTGTTCCCCAGGAAGTTTCAGGATGGCATGTCAATCAGTATGGACTTAGTAATCAAAGTGCCCTGGGCGTGAAGAAGTTTTTGTCCACTTCCTTCATGTATGTCTTGGGCAGTTTACTCTGAGTCTAAATCTTTCGAGCTTTTAAGGCATGCTTCGGAGGTCTGAGGCCCTTCGTCTCTGTCTATTGTCTCTGTCTGTCTCTGTCTCTGTCTCTAGCTCCCTCCAGAGATTGAATTCTGAACCCCATACATGCTAGGCAAGCACTCTACCACCAAGCTGTGCCCTCCAACCTTTTATATTACATTTTCATTTTGAGACAGTGATTCGCTAAGTTGACAAGACTGTCTTTGAAATCACTCTATAGCCCAGGAAGGCTTTGAAACTGCAATCCTCCTGCCTCAGCCTCCTGAGTGGCTAAGACTATAAGCTTGTGCCAACACACCAGCTAGAGGTTGTTTTGAAGAATAGGTAAGAACCTGTGTGCAGAGAACCTAGAACATTCCTTGGCATACAACAGATGTCCCATGGGGTAGGCCATCCTGCTATACACAGATCAGAAGGAACAAGGAATGGAGAAAGGAGAAGGAATCAATCAACCCTTAGGCGCCTTAGCTCTTAAATCTAAATTCTTGAAGTAGAGACAGTAAGTGCATATTTTTCTGTGAGGGCGTGTTTGACTGTTACTTTGCAGTTGGTATTAACACAGATAGCAGGAATATGACTGCTAAATAAATCTTCCTTGAGGTCTACCCACAACAAACATACAATTAGGATGTCAGGAATGAGGGTGGGAAGGAGAAAGCAAAAGGACATGAGAAGTCGTCTGTGGGAGACTTCCTTTCATGGACAAAAGTAACACTCTACTTTCCTGCTCAACCAAGCTTATTCTCAGACTGCTGCTACTAATTTACTGCTTCTAAAATACATGACCAGCATCCTGAAGCTTGCTCTCTGTCTCTGATGAAAGCACACAGGGAGAGGGAGCCTACAGACATCTAAGACTTCGCCTTTTCCTCTCTCTAGGCCAAGCAACATGGCTGCTCCGTGCAAAGGAGGAAGATTCCTGACGCCTAAAACTAGGAAGGCCTGATGCCTAAAAGTAACCGGATCCATTCTCCTAAGGTGAAGAGAAGCCCGAGAAGCCAAATGAGCCAAATGGCAATTGTGTGGCTCCAGGAACTTCTCTCACATTATACCAAGACAGGGACAGCACCTTCTGGCCGAATGGGGAGATGACTGGCTGCTTGATTGTGAGCCCTGTTGTATCCCATAGATGTATCATGTTCCAACAAAACCCAGTCTATCCTACAGGGTCAAGAAATTCTTCAAGACTGTTTATAGGGTAACTCAGACCAGCTCATCTTAAGAAAGATAAAGGTGACAATTACTGGTGTTAACTGCCAAAATGTCATAGCCTAAAATGATAGGAAATGGAAGCTGGTGAGGTGGTTCAGCTAGTGGGGTGCTTTCTTACCATGTCTGACCACTTGAGTTAGAACCCAGGAACCCACACAATGGAAAGAAAGAAAGAAAGAAGCAATTCCTCTTGTAAGTTGTCCTTTGACTTCCACACATGAATGGTGACATATATATACCCAAACATACACACACACACACACACACACACACACACACACACACACAATGAATAAATAAATGTAATTCAATAATTAAAAATAAAATAACAGAAAACACAAAGTACTTAAATCAGCATTAACTCCCCTTAAGGAAGCTGTGTTTGTTTGGGAAACCACCCAGTTCCAGGTTGGCTTAATTTAGTACTATTCCTTTAAATGATTAAACAAATCGTCTCTAATGGTCCTTTTTCCAGCACAAAGGGACCCCAGTTCTACCCAAACCATTTCCCCAGAGTCAGCAACAGACTATCTATCTGCAAACTCTACAGATTATTTTCAACAACACCGATGTCCCTCTTAGAGTGTCTCCAGCCACAAAAGACAATACAATAATTTAGTTTCCAGCTCTTTTTTCCACAGTCAAACCGTGGAGCTGACCACAGTAGAGTGTGGCCATCAAAGGACAAAATCACCCACTACCTCAGTGAGTGTTGTCCTCACGGTATTTGTTTAATGCCATCATGGCACAATGTCACCAGTCCCTACACAAGGTTGCTATGGGGGTTAGCAATCCCAAACCAACCCACCTGGTAAAGTTCAGGAGAAGAGGAGACAGTGGGAGAAGGGATGCATAGCATGTCTCTGAAATGATGGATTTGTGCCCTTAGTAGAGGGCAACTTTTAATAGCACCTTAGCAAGGCAAAGTTCCCACAGCAAACGCTATCCAGACAGATCCTGGAACAACTAGGATCTCACAGAATAAATGACATCAGAAGAACCCAAACGGCTTCTTCCTTAAGCAAGGGAGCCCTTGCTTATAATTGGGGCCCCTTTTCTTCCTCTCCAATCAGAATAGTAAAGCCAGATGGCCGCTTCTCCGAGTGAGCACAGCTCACTAACCTACATAGTTCCTGGAGCAGAAATGAGCCCTCAGTCAAAGCTGCTGGTTTGCTCTGCTCCAACTCCCGGAGATCAAGATCAACTTCCCCCGGAGGATCGCCTGCTCTGTGCTCCAGAGACCACTCTGGAAGAGTGGCCGGGGCAGGAGGAGGGAACACTCACCATTTGGTTGCTATACCAGTACAGCGACGACCCCTTCAGCACCACCCAGAACTTTTTCCATTTGTTGCTTAGGAAAGTTCCCTTTTCCTTTTTCTTGTACAGCCAACCCTGGCAGTCCGCGTGGCCCAGGTCTTTACACGATATCCTTCTCCGACTCATGGTGAAAAAACCTGCAACAGTGACACGAACAGGTAAGTGTGACCCCAACTCAGGTGACAAAACAAAAGGCAGTTGTTAGTTGTTTGCACGGCAATGGTTGGGTGCTTACATTCATACAAAGTAAATGTAAAAGAAAGGAAGGAAGGAAGGAAGGAAGGAAGGAAGGAAGGAAGGAAGGAAGGAAGGAAGAAAGAAAGAAAGAAAGAAAGAAAGAAAGAAAGAAAGAAAGAAAGAAAAACTCCCAAGTATCTGTTCTATTTTTAAACATTCATTTGGTGCCTAGAACACCCAGGCAAAGAAGCAGTGAGACGTTTATGCAAGCATGGGTCTGAAAACCTTAGTCAAAAGAGTAAGTTGAAAACGGTAGACTCTCCGGGCTGGCAGGCACACTGTAGGGGACACACGGTCCTACCCATAGTAACAGCGGCAGTTATGCAACAGACACGGAAGGGTTAAAGCCCACCTAGGACACCAGGGACTTCCTGTCGCTGCCAGCCTCTCTAAGCTCTGAGGACAAAGCAGGAGGGACTGGTCCAAATGAACAGCATGTCATTCTTTCTTAAAATCAATCCAGAAGCAGCCAAAATTTTAATCTGCCATCCATCTCCTGATATTAAATCAGACAGACAAGACTCTGCCCCCCCCCACCGCCGCCCCAAGAAAGCATCCAGTAGAAAGGAAGAAAAAAATAAGAAATTCACACTCACAGGCAGGAGAAAGGGATAAAAGAACAAAAGGGATCTAATTACCTTGAGTTTTCTTCCTCGGCTTCTGACGCAAGGGAACCTGCTGGAAATGCAGGAAGGAAAGAAAAGAGGCAATTTCTGATTGTGTTGTAACATTTGTAAAGAGAGAAGGAGGGAGGGGGTGGCAGTGTTTATGAGCGGGGTGGATTCTAAAAAAAAGAAAAGAAAAGAAAGAAAGAAACTCTCCAAGCAGAGCTCAAGGGGAGTACGAGCTGAGGCACAAAATGTGCTAATTAGAATCGATGTGCACTGAGTGAACCTGGAAAAAGGTAACAGGGCATTTATCTGTCAAGCTTCCTGTTTCCTCCCGCAAGCAACTCTCGCTACTACTTGGGTTAGTGAGGGCACCGTGCTTGATGAAGTTTTAGGAAATCGTGAAATATTTTACTTACACGTTTTTGTGAAAGAAGAAACAATATTTCTTTTCTCTCCTGATTTCTAAATAATTGTTTCTATCTCAAGCTGTTAAATGCTCACATCAGACTAATCTCATGGAGAGTTCTAGCTACACCAGGGGTATTAAATAGCCTGGGGGGGGGGGGGAATTCCTTATCTCTTCTTGTGTGACCTCAGGGATTCTAAAGCCTCCTGATTGGGAATTTCTTATTTGCAGCCAAATTTACATATCTCATTCTATCTTTATTGCTGAATATTTCTCACATGTTTTATAGACAATAAATATTCAAATATTCAAAGTAGACATGACGATTTATATAAAATACACACATTTTCCACAACACATTTTCACCAAGTTATGTAAAATCAGATTCCCAGACAAAACTGGAAAATTCAAAGAAAAAATATGCTTATAAACGTCTCTCCCTGTTTTTTCTCCTCTCTCTCTTCCCCCTCTCTTTCTCTCTCCTCTCTGCTCTCTCTCTGTTGCAAATATTACAGAGAACTTTAGCTTTAAAAAATTTCATTTTTCTCTACAGCATCTAAGGTTTAGATCATTTTCATTTATTGTTAGCAAGCAGAGACTTTAACATTTGAACATGCAATGAAAGTAGCCCTAAAAGCTGGTACGTAATCTCATGAATTCTGTGGTCCTCTAGATGCAGCTCACTAGTAGTTCACCTCTCTAACTACTAATGAATAGTGTATGTAATTGCTTATGTTTGGCCAGAGAATACGATCTACAGTAGGACAGAACTTTTAAAGCCACGGGTCCAGAATTAACTAGGAGCTATATTACCTGAGAAAATCATTCTAGACCTACTTCCTCATTTGCAAAATCAAGAGAGTTACAGAAAATACTCAGGAGGCAGAGACATGAGGATTCTTGCTTGACTAGGGGCAGAATGGACTATAGAGCAACATGTGTGTGTATGCATGTGTGCACATATACATATATACATATATGTGTATGCATATATGTATACATATGTGTGTGTGTTTATGTGTATGTGTGTGCAAATTCTAATACCATAAGACTCAAGGAGATCTGCCAAGATTTATTTTGGGGGGGGAATCATGTTTCTGTGAATAATCACATATCAGTGCGTCATGAGATATGCAAAGATAAGCAAACACTCAATGAATAAAACTCCCCATTGTAGAGTAAGCATGACTGTGTTTCCCTTAGCAGGGAGGATAGAGTTAAGATTAAATTGTGTTTTTTCAGAGATACAAAACCAGTGCAATCCTGACCTGGTTTTTTATTTTATGATCAACCTTTCTTCCCTTGGCTCATTGATTGATCTCCTTGAGAATAATGCTTAAGCAAACTCAATATGTGTCAATCATGACATGCTAGTTAAGTCTAAACATATTATCATATTAAGGGGCTCATCTCCCTCCATTTTCCAAATATTTTCCACACTGCCAACTCCTTGGCCTAAGATCCTTGCTGTTCCTTGGTCTCTGGGCTTTCTTTTTTTTTCTTTGTATGCCAAAATCCTGAGATCGGTAAACCCACTTAGCACCTGCTGACTATGTAATACCTGTCAAATTGAGAGCTAGGGCTAAAGATAAAGAGAATAAAGGTTCTATAGTAAGGTTTGGGAAATCGAGGGTCCCAAAGAGCAATGCGGGAACTGAGAACCAGGGAGGGAAGAAAGCAGAGATGTCCAAGCTTCTTCCTAGAAGGCTGGAGCCCCAGGTAAACAAGATGAAACTGCATCACTTCAAACAACAACAGCTTTTTAAAAAGAACAACAAAATGGGAGCCAATGCCCTGAAATCAGCTATGCAGTCCTAGAAGGGAAGGACAGAAGCAACTTTCATTTCTTGGCTCCTCAGCCATGGAACAGGGAACTGAGCCTCTCCACTGGGAACTTGTTGCTCCCCCCACCCCCGCCCGCTAGCTTTTCGTCTCTGCCATCAAGCCTACAGTGGTTTCCAGGTAAATTCCCAAGTCAAAATGTGTCTTTATTTCTCCAAAGACCAGCCCAAGATCTATGGCTGGATTCTTGCGCCTAGCCTGGGTTGAGAGTTAGGAATCCATATCAGGTCAACACAGACTCCACCCTCCCAGCAAAGTGTTCTATCCCTCCCAGCAAGCTCCTTGTGATTCAAGCCTGCCCTGATAGTCCTCCCACAAAGCAAACTGGCTGTTCGAGTGTTTTCCCATAGCCAGAAGCAGGCTGCACATTAGAGAAATAACAAATTACCGAGGGTTTCGGTTTCACTTGATAGATGTGCGTTTGAAACCCCAACTGCTCTACAAGAAGGAATAAAAACAACCTCTGAGAAGATTACTGAGTCTAAGATACATTTTCCTCCTCACAACAGGAAGTGGAACCCATGAACTAGTCAGTTTCAAGACCTTCATGTGGCTTTCTCACTGAGTAGGTGACAACATTAACAGCCGCTTGAGTGTTTTATGGGACGATTCCGACCGTCACGGACACTTAGAGTTAAATAAGATGTTCCTCCCAACTTATTTTCTTCCTGTTTGAATGTTATAGAGAAAACTGACCACTTACTTTAAAACTCTAAATTTTCCCTAAAATAGATCTAAAATTTGGGGGGGGGGGGGGCGAGAGATTCTCGTTGGAAATACATAGATAGTTTTTATTGAAGAAAAGTGTACTTTTCCTTTGGCTTTTGGAAAATGGCTCAAATGTTTCATTTGAGGGTCAAGTAGATGGCTCAGTCAATAAAGTGCTTGCCATACAAGCATAAGGACCTCAGTTAGATGCCCAGAAACCATGTTAAAGAGCCAGGTGTGGTGGTGTATTTATCATGTCAGCTATAGGGAGGCAGAAACAGGTAGAACTCTGGAACTTGCTAAGCAGCCAGGTTAAGCCTACTCAGCGAGGTTCAGGCCAATGAAAGACTCAAATAACAAGATGTATTCTTCTGAAGGAATACTACCTGAGGTTAACCTCTGACCTGCACCTATACATCTATGCACATATACATGCATACACACACATGCATGTCCAGTGATCTTGGTCTTTAGCAAAAAAAAATATATAGTGATATGTTGATATTCTTGTTTCATGTCTGCTGTTGTGGTCAAAAGGAGCTTCAGAGAGAGGGATATATTTGAACTTGCAATTCAAGAGTAAGCTATCACTGTGGTGGAGGTCACAGTTGCAAGAGCACAAGGCAGTTGTTCGCATCACATCTACAGCCAAGAGTAGAAAGAAATAAATGCAGACATGCCCACTTGCTTCCTTGTGCTCAGCACACTCTTCTACAGATCAGAAACCCTGCCTAAAGAATGGCGCTGCCCATGATGGCCTGGGTTTTTCCTCATCAGTTTACTGAAGGCAATCCCCCACATATATGTTCCAGGCCAGCCCTAAGTAGACAACCCCTGATTGAGATTCTCTTCCCAAATAATTACAGATTGTATTGAGTTGGAAGTTAAAGCTAAGCAATGAAGTGGACACGTGGTTCTTCATTTGCAGGCACACTGGCTTGCAGCATCTGTCACTTTTGGTGGTATATTCCTTACCTGCCTGACAATATAAACTACCATTACTTACTAACTAAGCAACAGAGAAAGACCAATACATAGATTATAAAACAATGAAAAGATCCCCCTGAAGAAAACTGAACAGGAATATCCAGGGCTGAACTCTAGAAAAGAGTATCATAAAAGGGAGGGAGAGACTCCAGAGAAATGGTCCAAGCCACCAAAGTCTGTTGCTTTAAAGGGGAAGGTTTGTTGGAGCTTTTCTGTGTTATTATTTTTCTCACCACCGTGACACAATATCTGATAAGAGGAACTTAACCAGGCGGGTTATTTGTGCTCACACAGTTTCAGGAAATACATCACGATAGAGAAACATACAGGCAACAGCTAGGTCTTGGGCAACAGGAGTTTAAGACTGTCACTTCTGGCCAGGAAACAAAGATCGGGGACAGGAAGCTGGCCATCACCCTCGGGGTTAACCCCTAGTGGCCTACTGAGAGTGGGTAGGTCTTGGACCTCAAGGATTCTACAACCTCACCAAACTGTGACCAGCTGGGGACCATGTGTTCAAGCACACAAGCCCGTGTGGGACTTTTCAGATTTAGACTGGCCCAGAAATCTTGGCTACATAGTCCTAATGCTGTTTGGAGCGTTGAGGGATGAGTGGGAACTAAGGAAGGAGACACAACATTGGTGACTGCTGGCAAGAGGAGACAGGACAGTACCAGGCGAGCTCGAGGTAGTGATGGATAAAGCCACCTGCTCTCTCTCAAGCCAAGCTTTCTAGCTAAACTCATGGTGGTTGGGGATGATGCACATTGACAGCAGATTGGCAGGACAGTGTGAAGTGCTTCGGCTACACCATATCCTGAATTACTGAATGTCATATTATTCTTTATCCTTTTCTTATCTTGGACCATTTTGAAGAAAATAAAATATAAATACTACAGTCACTCCAAGTTCCTCTCCTAATCCATTTCTCTCTCCGTCGGCCCAGCTTACTCTAACATGAGCATGTTTTCATGTTACATATTAGTGACTGTGATAGTTACACAATAGCACTAGTGTGGACATTTCCCCTTATTTCACTTTAATGTTTTTTTCCATGTTGATACATGTAGCTATAGCTCATTTACAGTGTGACAATTAAAAATGTTCTATGACTTCTTTATCCA